ATGGATTTGATGCACTGAATATTAATGCTGAAGGTGAGATGAGTTATGGGCTGACATTAAGACCTTCATCCATGAAAAGGGCAAAAGGCGTTAAAAAGACAGGAAAGAAAATGCAAAAAGACCAAAATAGATGTCTGAAGAGATTCTGAAGCCTGGTTTTGCAAACAGGAAAGCTAAAGCAAGTGGAAGGAAAGGCAGAGAGGAACAGAACTCGTGACAGCACTTTGAGAAGAAAGTAGAAGCATCATCATGCAACGTGCGGAGACCGGGAGTTAGAAGGACCAAAGGGAAGAGCGAGCGTGCACAGCTGGTCAACCCTCTTGCATTGCAATCGTAAAGGACTGTGTGGGGAATAGTGAACTGCACAGGAAGTAGCAAGAAAAGCACAGGTTCATTGCGCCAAAAAAAAAGAAATCAATTGACATTGAACTAAATAAGCCACTTCAGGAGTAGCAGACGATCAAGAACTAGTGGAGTTGAAGGAAGAATTCCGAGCCGCACTGAAGGCGTCGGCCAAAAACAAGGCTCCAAGAATTGATGGAATATTAATGGAAATGTTTAAAGAAACAGATGAAGCACTCAAGCCGCTCGCTCGTCTAAGCCAAGATGCTTCTTTGGAAGACAGTTACCCTCTCAATGGGCTGGAAGAGGTCCCTACTTGGGCCCATTCCAAAGAAAGGTGACCCAACAGAATGTGGTAATTTCTGAACAGGATAATGAATATTGCACACAAGTAAAATTTTGCTGCAGATAATTGAAAATTGTTGCCGCAGTACATTGACAGGGAGAGGGCAGAAACTCAAGCCAGACTTAGAAGAGGCGATAGAGGGAGGGGATCATTGCTGATGTCTGATGGCTCTCAGCTGCAGATAGAGAACACTAAAAAGATGCTTGCCTGGGTTTTATTGGCCATGCAAAGGCAGCTGGCTCTGTGAGTCACAGCAAACTATAGATGATGCTGTGAAGAATGGTAACTCCAGGACACTCAGTTGTGTTCGTGCACAACCTTGACACAGCCAAGAGGCTGTCATGTGACCAGAACCAGGGGATGCGGCGTGATTTGAAATCAAGAAAGGTGTGTATCAGAGTTGTTGCTCTGAACCACACTTATGCAATCCGCATGCTGAGCAGAGAATCCAAGAAGCTGGACTCTCTGGAGATCTGGCATCAGGAGGAGAGGGTGTTTTATTAAGAACCGTCCTTGCCGAAAGTGAAGAGGACTTGTTTCTATGGATCACGCCTCAGTGCAAAGCAAACAAAATTCTCACACCTGGACCAACAGACTTCGTGATAAACAGAAGAGATTGAAGTTGTCAAGGATTTCATTTTGCTTGGACCCACAATTCAATACTCAAGGAAGCAGCAGTCAAGAAATCAAATGACACCTTGGCATCGAGCAAATCTAGAAGCCCTCTTCCGAGTGTTAAAGAGCACTTTGAGGCCAAAGGTGCACCTGCATTGAGCCGTGGTGTTTTCAAGAGCTTCACAGCTGGATAATGAGTCAGGAACACCAGCGAAGAACTGATGCATTCAAAGGAGGGTGTTAAAGAAGGGTGTGCACTATACCACGGCCGCCAGAAGAATGGACAATCTCTCTTGGAAGAAGTACAACCAGAATGTTCCTTATAAAGGAGGGTCATGAGATTTTGTCCCATATACTCTGACCATGTTCTCAGGAGTGACCAGACGCTGGAGAAGGACATCATACTTGGTGGCTGGTCCGGGAAAAAGAGGAAGACCAATCCATGGACCTAAGAGCGCATTTGTGTTTCTGTGTACTTCATAGTTCATTTTGTCCTGCCTGGGGTCCTAAAATCTTCTGAGTGGCCGTCCAAGGCACGACAGTTCGTCTTCCCTTGCATGCAGGGACAGAGGACAGTGGACAGCAGGAGGAGGATCAGGAATAAGAGGCAGCGATGAAGGTGTGACTAGTAGCTTCCATGAACAGTTGCCTCCTTTTTGTCTAAGACAAGAACTGGGTGGCACTGAGCTACCTTTACAAGATTCCACAGAAAAACCTTGGTCCAAGAGGGGGGAATGTAGAATCCAATTCTCATGAACGTTAGACTCTCCAGGGACATAGAGGATGGATGAACCCCTGAAATGAGTGCCTCGAGGCCAACTTTAAGGCTTAAACCAAAAATAGCCCCTGAAGTCATCTCGATACGGAATGATGACTTAGCTTGACCGGTAAGAAAAGTCTGCATTGAGCACTGTGCTCTCTTAGGAAGGATCTACCTGGGTCCAATTGAAAACAGCTGCTCTGGAGATTAGACAGGAAGCTTAGGGGGAGTGAGCTTGTGGTCACGAGGAGAAGCAGCTCAGCAGAGGGCGGGACTAGTGGCCCAGCTGGAGGAAGATAATCCGTGTCACCAATTGGCAGGTGTAGAAAGAGGGGCATCGGTGTATGACTGGAGGTGCAGATTCTGAACTACAAAGTACATTAAATTTAGGAAAAAGAAATGCAGCCTGGGGACCAGATGTCAAGCCTGGACGGTTTGTTGGCTGTGGGATGAGTACAGGGGTGGAGAGCAAGCGTTTGGAAACTTTTAAAGCGATTTGCAAAAGTACTCTTAAGTGTGTTCAATCTCATCATTGAAAATAGAAAACTATAAAATAAAATGTTTTATTAAAAACATTTAACATAAGATATAGCTTTTCTGGGAAAGTGGAGGGAGGGTGGGTAGGAAAGGGGGAACCGATTACAAGGATCT